TTTCAGTTCCTTGTTGGTTTAGCACAATTAACTTCTAATTTCTACAAAAACGTTATTATCTTTGATGGTGATATATATATATATATTTATACATATATAAAGAGCTTATAGCACAGAGGCCAATTCATATTTGCAACTTTTGATCCCATGGTAGTATTTTTAAACTGAGAACCGTAAAGAGGAACATATTCAGAGATTACATCATATGCTATTAGTAATATATATTAGCATATAAAAATTAGTATAATATGCTCTGATAAACGTTATGCGGAAAAATGCTATTGAAAATGTTCATAATACAGCATTTTATATATTTGCGTTAATTTCCTTCTTAACTTCCCTTCTATCAAAAATAGCCTATGAAACTGGATAGACGAGAATCTTGGAAAGTGAGAATAGGGCTATCCGTACGAGCCAGTGTAGAGAAAAAGAACTGGGAAAATTTTTTACCATATTATCGGTTACAATGCTTTGTACTGAGTGGTTTTTTAATAAACATTATTTCATCCAGTCGTGTGTTTCAGGGGAAACAGCGTTCACAAAAATGCAAATACTGATAATACGCCTTGATATAATAATAATAATATGCCATATGATGATATGATGATAATAGACCATCTGTTTTCGTTTTGCATTTGAGGGTGAATTAATTTTGTTTAAAAAAGCCATAACTATTCATCTGTTCCCGAGGATACAAATGTGACTGTGCACACTCGAAAGAACAATGATTCGTTTATTTTCAGACGTCTCTGGGTTTCGATGCCGAGTAACTACGACTTGAACAAACTGCAAAAACTGCACAGACTTCTGTCGATGAATTTTAAATCAACCCGATACACAAGCCTTCTCCGTGTGAGCCAATTCGACCGGGGACTCAGACCGTGGCAGATCGTCGTTGCGTGTGAAATCTCAATTAGGTGCTGGAGGAAATGTCACAGTCCACCAAGATAGCAGTAATTTGACGGATTTGAATCGGCGAATGACAGATTGGTAATTTCAACAAACTGTCAGTAGAGCCTCCTACTACTCTTTGGTCCAGTCTACCGTCTATCCCGTATGACCGGTTCTTGTCATCAACACGCACTACACTGTCGGATTGCCCGGTCAGTTTATTTTTATTCGGCGCGCAAATACATGCACGTAGTGTATACCTATTACTCATGGATCGATGACTCCAGCAACATGTATCAGTCTATTCTCATTTATCCCCACGTGCAGTCCTTTGATTGACCGCTTCTCCCTTCCTGAAAATTGTATGGGTCTTAATTTATCTCGGTAAACGGAAGTGAACAAGCAAAAGCGACCGTCTGACTGCTCACCAATAAGAATCAATTAGACACATACGCACGCACAAAGACATGAATAAGAGGTTAGCGTAGGGCAATTTCACATAATATGTCCGCCTAAT